GCCGGGAGGGTGGGCTTTTGGAGTGACAGAGTGATGCTGGCGGGTACTGATCCTCCAACACATTATTGGGACCCGTGATGGTTACTGGGTTCTGTCCTTCCGGTCTGAGTCCCCTGGCAGCTGCTGAGAGCTGCTGGAGGATGGCCAGGGCGGGAGCATTAGCCTCGTCTGAATCCTGACAGGGTTGATGGGGGAGGAGCAGAGAGGAGGCCAGAAAGGGGAACGGGAGTGACCGGTCACTGCTTTTAGCCAGTGAGCTTGGGAGGCAGAGCCCCCAGCAGGGAAGTCATAATATGGTAAAGTTTGAAGTCTCCTTGGAAACCATCTTATTAGCCCAGGGTTCTTCAGCCTCAAGACTCGTGAACTCTGAGGCCAGATACTTTGTGACGATGCGCAGGAGGGTGTTCAGCAGCAGCCCTGGCCTCCACCCCCTGGATGCCAGTGGCACCCTCCCACACACAGTTGTGACACCCCAAAACGTTTCCAGACATTGCCAGATGTCCCGGCAGGGGGCAGGGGCAGTGCATGAAATGGCCCGTGGTAGAGAACCACTGATCCAGCCGATGCCCTTGCTTCACAGAGACGGGGAGTGATTCACAGATGGTCACACACAGTCCAGGAGCAGCGCCAGGCCAGAGGCCCTGGGCTGGCTTTCGGCTTAGGGCTCTTCCCCCCGCTACCTCCCGTCCAGTCCAGCCCTGGTGTGGCGCCTGTGTCCTCCTCAGTGGCCAGTTCACAGCGTGGTGGCCTTGCTGAGAGTGGCAGATGAGGGCTCGGGGTGGGAAGTGCGTTCTCTGATACTTTGCCTCTTCCAGATCCTCTGCCCTATCCGCTCTCCAGGCCCAGCCTTCCCATCCCTCCGTGGCTGCAGTGGAGTCCCTTCTCCCCCACTGTCTCCCCACCGCCCTTGGGAATAAAAATCCTCTTACGAAATTTTTTTTTTTTTAAGTTCTAAGAGAAGAGTGGGATTGGGGGAAGCGCTGCTTGGATTAGCTCCACTTCCTTCAAGGAGTATGTAGGCAGCTACACGTTAGGCCAGGGCAGCTAGAGGCAGATATTGGAATCCAGTTAAAGCCAACGAGTGGGGCCTGTGACCCCCATTTTCGAGGTAATTGCTTCTCCGGCTCTGAGTGAATGCGGCCGTCTCGCTGTCAGCCGTCTAATCACTGCACCTGACAGAGCCTCTCACGGCAGGGGCAGGAATTAGGGACGGCTGAGCCAGGGCATCCTGTGAAGCAAGAAGGAGGGAGAGGGAGAGCGGGCTTGCGGCCAGGCTGACTCGGGAGAGCGATGGGAGGATGGTGGCAGGGGGCCGGGAGGGCTGATGGCCAAAGGGCAGGAGTCCCGCCCCAGCAGGAAAGGGCGGTGAAGGGAAGGACCCAGAAGCCTTGTGGCTACCCACATGGTACTGTCCGATTTGCCCCTCTTGGGGGAAAAGTAGCCCAGCCCCCTGGTCTGGGAGTTAGGGGGGGCTTTGGGCAAGTCACTTCATTCCTCTGGCCTGTTTTCCCCATTTGTGAAAAGATGGAAAAGGGCTGGGCAAGTTTCCTTTGACGTACCCTTTTCAGTCACTCATCTGGGGCTCTCTTGGGTGTGGGGTGGAAGGATTCTGGGTTTACAACTTGGCTTATTTCAGAGAGAGATGAGAGGTCAGGTAGACACATCTGGAGTGGGCATACCTGCAGCCAGTGGTATGTGTTTATCACATGAACTAGAGTATTTCCAGGGCCTCCCCTCCAGGTGAGAGAGGCCAGAATCCAGCGTGAGCTTGGTGTGAGGGGAGAGGGGACAGAGGACAGAGGGGCTGACGGAAGCCCAGGCTTGTTGGCCCAATCTGCCCACCACACACAGGGCCACTGGGAACTCAGGTGACCGTCTGGGGAAGGCAGGCCTGAAGGTATGTGTGTGTTCGCCAGGGCCTGCCAGGACCCAGTTACTGCAGACCTGTTGCACACCCTTTTTTCTTGGATCCAAGTTATTGGGGGATCGTTGGAGGGTCAAAAGATTCCTGAGCGTGAGGGATGAAATACTGTCCCTTGGTCAGCAGCTTGCACAAGGCCTCCCCGAGCAGATTAAAGACACTGTGAGCCGATGTTACCCACCATCTTCAGAACTCATGTTCTACTTTGCTCCGTGCTAGTCCAAGGTCACTGAACCTGGCAGGTGGAGGGGCATGTACCTCACTGGCCCCACTGACAATTTGGCCTGCATTCCCTTGGAAATTATTAGTGGAAGAAATAAGTGTTGGCTTGATTGCTTTTTTTTTCCATTTTTTATTTTATATTGGAGTACAGTTGATTAACAATGTTGTGTTAATTTCAGGCATACAGCAAAGTGATTCAGTTACACATATACATGTATCTATTCTTTTTCAAATTCTTTGCCCATTTAGGTTATTACAGAATATTGAGCAGAGTTCCCAGTGCTGTACAGTAGGTCCTTGTTGCTGCTTACTTATTTTGTTTTTTTAATTGGGTGAGCGGGGTGAGGAAGGGGGAGGTTTTAGCTTGTTGCAAACTACACTGGGTATCTTGAAGCCGGTCCTGAGGTTCTCACATTCCCTCCAGGATGCTGATGAGCTGGGTTCAGTTGACTGGTAGAAGGATGGTGCAGAGAGTGTGCCTTAGAATGAACGCATCTGTTTCTCTCAGCTAGTGGGCCGTGGTACGGAGAAGTCATGCTGGGTTTGTCCTGGCTCTGGTTACTTTGGCTTAGCAGAGTTCCTTCACCTCCCCCTGAGCCTGTTCCCGTCTCTGAAACGGGGATAACGGGGTTGTTGTGAGCTCTCCAAACTATAACAGAGCATGAAGGCACAATTCAGCCCGGAGCTGGGGGGGGGGGGCACCTCCGTGGGCAGGACGTAGGGGCCGGGGCTGCCCTCCCTCTCCTGGGAGGGCAGGGCGTCTGCATCCTATGCAGTTAGGACTCTGTCTGGGTGTCCTTGGTGGGTCTCAGCCCTGGAAATGCTTAGACAACTTCACTAGGTTTAACCCAAATCATGAACCTGAGAAGCGAAGCATTGAATCAGGTTGCAGAGGCATGAAGCGTGATGTGCATAATCCAGTTACACAGACTCGGCCAGCGCGGGCCTCCCTGACAGCCTCCCATGTAAGTGGCCATACCTTCGGAGCCCGGGAACTGGGCATTTGGCACACATGAGGACAGGGACACACGTCTGCCCCATGGGACATGTTTTTTGCCATGTTTTGCTGTTCCAGCCTGAAATGTTAAAGGTGGAAGGAGGGTGTGCTCACGAGGGGGCTTGCTTCCAGATGCCTCACCCCTCTTTTGGGGTTGTGGGGTGGGTTGTTGACTTCCTTTCCTATGGTGGACGGAGAAATCCTGGTCTTGGAGGGAATGGTGGAAGCCAGGGACAGGCTGCTGCAGAGTGGTGAGCCCACTTCCCTCCTCGGACGGTGGACTTGATCCCATTTGTCCCCAGTTGAAAACGCTGTCACCCTCCCACTTGGATGTCACTGTGTTTCTGCACATCGCCCTCTGAAGTCACAGATATGTCACAGGGATAGAAATGCAGCCTGAGGATGGCTGTACCCTGCCTGCGACACGGGGACGGAGAGACAGGTGGATCACTGCCAGCCGGCTCCCCCTGCCCCGCTGCGGCAAAGACTTTATCTCACTCTTTATCACAACCAGGACTGTTGTTAGCAGACCCTTGGCCCGACAAGCCCTGGCATCTGTCCTCGCCCCAGGAGAGGAGCCTGGGAGGAGGTTGGCTCTCTGTCCCTGCTTCCTGGAGCCTGCTGGGCCACTCCCGAGTATCCCTTCCAACCACCCAGAGCAGACCTCAGGGGAATTTCTGGCTGTGCAGGGGGTGCTCTTGTATTTGAAGATGAAAAGTACGTGGAAGCTGCCTTTCCTCTGTTGCAAAGAAGAGACACTCCTGCTTGACGGGCCATGGCTGAAAACCAACCTCTCTGTCTGGGAAGCTCAGCAGCTTTGAAAGCCACGGTCTTCCAAACAGCCACTGCAACTACAGCCTTTGTTCTGAGTTTCTGATGCTGGTTCACTGGTTCATGTTTCGGGAAGCAGGATGCACCACTGATGCCCCTCTTCCCAACCAAGAGGAGCCTCGGATCTGGGCACGTGGATGGCTTTTGGACAGAGCCACTCTGCTGACTTACTTCCCAGCCTCTCTGTGTAAAGCTTTTCCCAACATTTTCATTTATTCACCCAGCAAATGTGTGTTGGGCAAACATGCCAGGCCCCACCCGAGGTGCTGGGATGGATAAAACAAGGTCCTTTCTTCCTGGAGCCCACGAGTTGCCAAGATCAGAGAAAGAGATGAAAGATGCAGTTCTGTTTGTGGTCCACTCATAGCTTTTGCTAATGTTTGTTGAACACCTGCTTTGCCTTCACGTGTAGTAACGCACGTGATCCTTGTACAACCTGAAGAGATGGGCTGCATTCTGATCCCCACTTTGCAGATGTGGAAACTGAGGCTGAGAGAGGTCCACTGTTGTCTAAGGTCTTACAACTGATAAAAGAGCGGGACATCTTCCTTAGTCTGTCTGGCTCCAGAGTCTGAGCTGTCAAAACTCTCAGAAAGGAGGAACCTGTTCTGACCCGGATGATGGGGAGGGCTTCCAGGGCGTCTCGAGGCAGATCTGGGGTCAGGCTGCAACCTGGACCAGTGCCCACCGGCAGCTTCCGTAAACTGCCCACCAAGAGATGTCCTAGGTCTGGAGCAATGTCCCAGCCTTTCTCCACAAACTGAGAAATGAGCTCTCTGGGGCCAGGAGTGTGGTGTGACTGGGGGTGCCATTAATTTGGGGGTGCACCAGGTTGGCGGTTGGCAGCTTAGTTGGGGAAGATTGGGGCTCTTAATCCCTGACCTCAAACACACTCATTGCCTTTTGGAGCCTCACGTCTGTCCAGAGCTGTGGGCCTGCATTGTGTTTTGTTGTCTGTTCATCAGTGGCCTGAGAGCCACGGTTCACACTGACAGGCGAGCTCGTCACGTCTTAGCTCTTTGTCACCGCCACCAACTCTTCTTGCTTTGGGGAGGAGGGTCTCTTTAGGAACATTCTTTGGCTGACGTCGGTGGTTGACAGATTTGAGTCCAGGTACCACACTGGTGGTGAGACTTGGCTAGTTACTGGCTGCCCACTCCAGCCCCTAAGTGCCAGTTTGCCATCTGTAAAATGGGCAGAACCCTTCTGCCAGGTAGTTGGAAGGGTCAGAGAAAATATTTGGAAAGGGCCCAGGCATTGATTCAAGCATTCAGTAAATTTCTGTTCCCTCCTGTTGTGCTCGTTGAGAAGAAAGATGTATGGGTACCCAAGGGCCCAGCCGTTCCTAAGAAATATTTCAGTCCCTATGAAATATTCAGCCGTGGCGTAGCTTGTGCCACAGTGCCCGTGGTTCTTGACGCAGTCTTGGGAACGATAAAGGGCGCTTTGTCTTGGCTGCTGGGGGGAGCACAAGGGGAAGGGGGGAAAGAAGATTGAGGCTAGTGCTGAGCAGAATCCTTAATTAGGGATTGTTACCCTTGCTGTTGATAATAAGTGACTTAATGCACGACTAGATTTTGGAAGGGGAGGGAGCCATGGAAAGGCCTCTGGGAAACGTTTAGCTATCGTTATGAGATCACTTAGTTAGTAACCTGCCTGAGGTCACCCAGCTAGTAAGTGCCAGAGCTGGGGTTTGAATCCTGGTCTGTCTCGATTCCAAAGCCCCCACTCTTCCTGTTCTCCACTCTGATGTCCGGTGACGTCGGCTCTCATTCCACTGGCCCCAAACTCCTCTTGATCTCGGGACTCCTCTGCTGTGTCCTGCCCCCGCTTTGTAAGACAGGCGTGGAGTTCCTCAGAATTAGGGAGTCTTCCCCAGGGTACGGGCTCAGGGTGGGAAATGCTGGCTGCTGACCTTTGCAGGCATGTAAGCATGAGCAAAACTGTGGCCGCTAGGAGCTTAAAAGTGGATCGCCCTCAATGGAGAGGGAACCCCGATGACTGGCTTTTAAATGCATGCTGTATTTATCTTGGGCTTGGAAACATGCATTGAGAAGTTCTGTCCTGAGACTGGGGTTGGAGAGGAGATGGAGCGTTTGCCATCATAAATCTTGTGTCTCAGTTGCGGTCCATTACCAGACTTCCTCCAGCATGACAGCATGTGTGGCCTGAGCTGGGGGCAGAGGTTTGGGGGGCATGTTCCCCCGGCACTTCCTGGAGAAGCAAGAGGGCTGGCCCAGGCCTCCCCGGCCCTCCCCGCTCAGCCGCACTCACCACCAACTTCGTTGCAGCAACAGCAGCTCCAGGCGCAGCACCTCTCCCACGCCACGCACGGCCCCCCGGTGCAGCTGCCACCCCACCCGTCAGGCCTCCAGCCTCCAGGGATCCCCCCGGTGACGGGGAGCAGCTCAGGGCTGCTGGCGCTTGGTGCCCTGGGCAGCCAGGCCCACCTGTCGGTGAAGGACGAGAAGAACCACCATGAACTGGACCACAGAGGTGCGGCCCGGGGCGGGGGCGGAGGGCAGAGTGCAGGGCTGGGGGCAGAGGTTTTGGAGGCCCCTCTGTGAACAGACACAGCAAATGCTGTCACCCTAGGACCAGGAGTTAGCAAAAGGCTTGGAGCCATCTGTTAAGTTCCTGGTACACGGAAACCGGAGCCCCATCCCCCAGGCCACCCCCCAATCCCTGATGTGTACCTGCTCTCCTTTGCCCTGGAAGGCATCTTGTCCTTTCTTCCTGGAATACCGTCCCATCTTCCTAGCCACACCCTGTCCACCCTCCAAGGGCCAGCCCCAGTCCCACCCCTGCAGGATGCCCTCCTGGCCAAGCTGAGGACAGAGACCATTAGTCCTCTGAGGACAGAGACCACGTTCTTTGGAAAAGATACCCAGTTGGCGCTCAAGTAAAGACTCATTAGGGGACTGTCTTTAAGTAGAGGTGGTGGTGACACTGCTGCAGGGAGATGATTGGGAGGACTGGGAATGAGAACGTCCTCTACCCTTAACCCAGCCTGTCCCGCGAAGACCCCTGAAGCTGCGCCGAGAAGGGCCTTGGGAGGGGGCCTAGTTTGATCGGGAAAGGAGAGGGCCTGGCTTCCTAGCAGACCCTTTGCAAATTGCCACCTCGTGTGGTCTGCCCTTAGATATTATTTTTATAGCTTTATTGAGATATAATCGACACATACTATCCTGTTTAAGGTGCACCACGTGATGGTTTGATTTGCCCTTAGATACTTACTGGGGCACATGGCCAATGCCTTATGAGCGGCCCTGGGCACAGGGGGCTTGGAGTGTTACCATCCTGCCTGGGCCGGGGCCATGGGGTGGTAGTAGCAGGTCATGGGAACCAGAGACTTAAGTTTTTTTGCCCCTGAAGTAGGATGGTCCTCCTGGCAGAGGAAGAGGGCCTCCCCACAACAGACAGGAGAATCAGGGAGCTAGTGCTTGGCTGGGCAAATAATCAGAGGCCTCAGCTTCCTGGGGCGTCTTGGTAAAGAAACAGAGAAGAGTGTTAATTAAAAAACAACACCGGGCTTCCCTGGTGGCGCAGTGGTTGAGAATCCGCCTGCCGATGCAGGGGACACGGGTTCGTGCCCCGGTCCGGGAAGATCCCACGTGCCGCGGAGCGGCTGGGCCCGTAAGCCATGGCCGCTGAGCCTGCGCGTCCGGAGCCTGTGCTCCGCAAGGGGAGAGGCCACAACAGTGAGAGGCCCGCGTACCGCAAGACAACACCACCACCAAAATACCACTCCGATAATTCCTTTCTTTAAAAAAAAAATAACAATAATGTTCTCAACTCCCAGATCCTATGGCTATTTTGCGTAGCACGATCCTTCCCAAGTTTACGGCTTTAGAAACTACTGACCAGTAATCTTGGTGCCCTTCTCCGCATGTCAGGGAGAGCTAGGCCACAGATCTGCCCCCGCTGCCCCACCGGGGCCTGGTGGCCGAGTGAAACATTGGAATTGGGGCGGTTAATTTCCAAACTGAGAGACGTCACCTAATGGCCCTACCTTGGCTGACCCACAGTGACTCAGAGAGCCAGGCCGCTGCCCGTTTTAAAACCCATGAACTAGCAAAGCATAAAAGCCAACCGGACAATACTGACCTTGCTTTCTTTTTTGTTTCTTTGTCTTGGGGGACCTGACCCTCCTCCTGTCCTGGCCTTCTGTCCCCAAAGAGAGAGAATCCAGCACGGTAAGTGCCAGCACTCTGGAACCTGTGGCGGGGGGTGGGTGTTTGGGTGCTGGGAGAGGGTCAGCCCTAACCCTGTGTGGGCTCCTGGGAGGAGGGTGTTGTCCCCTGTTGAGTGACCTGCACTTGGGGAAGCCTTCATCTCTCCAGGCTTCAGGGCCATCATTTGTTAAATGAAGAGCTGGGCTAAGTGAGCTCTAACCAGCCGCCTTTTGTATGAGAGGTGATTACTGGAGAGGTCAGTCAGCCAGCCAGCCCTGGGCCCTCCAAGGGGGGTTGTGGAGTCACAGGGCTGAACCCAGAGCTCAGGACCCTGGTGTCCCCCCACACACACGTTTGGGGCTGGAGTGCCTCCCTGCCCCCCAGATGGCTGACCCCTGTATGATCCTATATCCTCCTCATTTCCTCCCAACACCTGAGGTTTCTCCCTGTTCTAGGCTTTAACTCGGTTTGAGAAAGTGCTAGCAAGCGAGCGTTAAGGGCAGGCTGCCTGCGTGTCTGTCAGCTCTGAGATTTGTTGTAAATCTTTCTGATCACACTGAGGCTCAGAGGTTCTGTTTCAAGTGAATAAGCCTTCTGAATAAGCACAGTGGAGTCTGGATAAAAAAAAAGTCCTCCAGCGATTAACACAGCTATTTTATTCCTCATCGCCGTCCTTGTATCTGGGGCCATCTAATCTGTTAGGATGGCTTTGGTTATTACCTCGTGTTAAGTGGGACTTGGAAGGTCAGGCAGTTAACTAACCATCTAGACAGCAGCTTCCTTGGGCAGCTCCTCCATCCCGACCCACCTCCCCTTCCCAGCCCTCTACCCGGGCTGACTTTAAACCTCCCATTAGCAGCAGTGCTCACGTCCCCTGTCGACTTGCCTGTGTGCTCAGAAATCCAGGTCATTTGGGCCCAGGAATGGCTAGGTGCCTAAGAAAGGAACAGCTGAAACTGTAAATCCATTTTGATTGCTTTAGTGTTGATCCCAGTAGGTGGCCTCGTTGGAGGGCTGGGCTGGACACCTCAAGGCTCAGTCTGGTTCCAGATTCACGGAACGTTGGGTAGTCCTCTTAGCCTCTCTGAGCCTCAGTTTCTCTATCTGTAACATGGCAATATTCCTGCCCAGCCAGCCTCTCCGCTTAGCTAGGAAGACCCCCTGCTCAGAACAGGACCCAGGATCCGGAGGTTACCTGCTTAACAGGGACCTGCCGCAGAGAGAAGTGGGTGCTCGGCCCCTTCCCTGCCTTCACACATTCTCATGCTCATCCTTGTCGCTCTTGGCTCTGGCTTTGTGCCCCCATCTGTGAACGCTTTCTGCTAAAAGGAACCCATGGGGAACCCCTAAGAGCTGGGCTCTTGGCTCCGCAGTGCTCGCCGACATCCAGACTCAAGGCAGAGGGGCCATCCTTGGGCCACTGGAGAATTCTGTGGAAATGAATCGGGACGCCGTCCTGGGCCGGGAGGGGGTGTGGGGCATCCCGGGGACAGGCAGTAGGGGCTCACATGTGTGCACGCGGCCATGGTGTTGGAGGGAGTGTAGACAAACGTAATCAGCCCTTTGGAAACCAGGTTGTCAACAGATGAGGCCCCGGCAGGAAAGACAGGGCTGTGTCGGAGTGGGAGGGGGGCCGGCTGGATGGGCTGGAAGCTGTCCCAGAGGGGTTAGTCTGGAGTCCAGTTAGGGGTAGCTTCATTCACATTTCCTTGCCTAGCAGCCGAAGCAATAAAAAAATACTTAGTTTTTTGGCCGCCTGCCAGCCAGAGGCGGGCTGGATCGATGCCGCTAAACGCCTGACAGGACTCCGGTAGCAGCGAGGGTTTTCAGCCTGACTGCAGGAAAAGAAAGAGCCCGCTGTTCTCTGAGCCGTGGCCCTGGTCGCGGGGAGAAACACGAGCAGCCGCGCGCCCCCCTTTTCTCCCCGCCTGCCCACCCGAGAGCAGAGGGACTGGGGGCGCTTCTGCTTAGCACGGGGTGGCCACCGTCAGAGGAGCTGAAATGAAATGACGGCGATTTTTCTGCGGGCGCTCGCCCCGGCTGATTGCATCACGGCTGTGCGTGTATCGCCCGCCGCGCCCGCCCGGCTGCGGGGAAGGTTGAGCTGCACTTCCGTTATAACCTCCATGTTTTCTTAAAGGCGCGATAACTCTGCCGTTTTAATTTGCTTCAGGCAGAAGCCTGGCAGGGAAGGGCTGCCCAGGAACCGGCTTAGGGGAGGAGGTAAAGTTCTGAGGCTGGTTCCCGCACCACTCCCCCACCCCCCCCACCCCACCTCTGAACACCGTCCCCGGCCTCTGGGGAAGTGGGGAGACTTTCCACCCGCCTCGATGGCCTTCTCCTCTGAGCAGACGTCCCTCTGGGTCCCCACGTGGCCTCATCACACACCCCTGGGGATGGGGATGAAGTGGACTTTGCCTTCCCTCCAGCTGGATTGTGAGCTCCGGGAGGGCAGGGGCTGTGTCTTGTTCTTTCCTCCACACCTGGCATCCAGCCCCAGGCCTGATCCAGGGCAGGTGCCCTGAAGAGGGTGCTGAGTGAAGCTGGGGCGGTGTCACCTGGTCTCTTAGGAAGGGGCGAACCTCGGCAGCCCCCTAGAGGGGGCTGTGATATCTTTCTCTTGGCACAGAGGTTTGCTGGCAGGTACCCCTGCCCGTAGCTCCTCCCTCCCTGCTCCCAGCCCGGTGCTGGTGGCCACGTGATGCCTGCCGTTCCTGGTTACCCATCACACCACCAGCCAGCGTCCTCCTCTGTGGGCAGCTCTCCCCTTCCGGCACCGCTCCATCCCCGGGCCCGCTGGCGGGTGCTTCTCCTGCCTCGCCTGTTGGCCCACCTTCCCTCTTCCCAGGCCTGAAATTCCAAACTCTTCTCGTCCTCACTTGCTTTGTAGTTGAAGGGAGAACTTGTTAAGTCTCTTCCAGGCCTGAAAAACGTGGGTTTCCTTCGTGTTGCCTGCTGCTGGGGGACCTTGGGCACGTTGCCCATTGTCTTGGGGCCCCTCCTTTCCCGTCATTACAAAGCTGGGTGGGGAGTCTACCTGTCCTCTATACCTTTTCCTGTGTTAAGAGGGGAAAGGCTTCATGACATGGCATTTTCTGTTTCTTTATAACTCTGGTGTTTCTCTAAAGCTGTAGGAGGCCATGCTGTAGTTGTAGGGTGTTCGCACAAAATGCCCCATCGCCCACCTACACTTAGGAGGCCTGTTGGCACTGCGGCGATCCTCGTCTGGGTCAGTCTCCCCGCTCCTGTCTTGTTCAGCAGAGCAGTTGGCCCCAGTTTGTCGGCTCAGATCCATCTTTCGAGACCCAGTGCAGATTCAGCGTATCCATTCTTTGAGCAAATATACGTGGCAGGCACAGATGGGCGGTGGAGGACACAGGCGTGACCCCCGCCCTCATGAGGCATACAGTCTCATAGGCCAGAGGCCGGTGCTGGGTTAATTATCTAATAGCAGCTATGAAAGAGCATTGTCGTGCTCCCGGGGTCGCTCCCAGGGGAACCGAGTCTGGGGAGTTGGGAAGGCGTCCCTGGGGAACCTCCGATGGAGCTGAGACCTGCAGGACACACACGACACCTCAGCTGACCTCTGAGTCACTTAGCTGTGTCAATATGTGCATGAAATGCTCATACTCTCCTTCTTGCTTCCAGAATAACTCGGTGTCGCCCTCGGAAAGCCTGCGGGCCAGTGAGAAGCACCGGGGCTCCGCAGACTACAGCATGGAAGCCAAGAAGCGGAAAGCAGACGAGAAGGACAGTTTGAGCCGATACGTACGTCTGGGAGCGCGGCGGGTTCCGCCGGTGTTTGGATTGGGTGGGCTGGGCTGGGGGAGACCCCACGGGGCCTGAGTCGTGGGAGAGTCAGGAAGAGGTGGGGGCAGGAGACGCTGCCGCACCGAGGAGGGCAGGTGGCCCGGGCAGGGGAAGCGTCCACAGACAGATGTCCTGTGAGCCTGTGGACCACGGCCGGGAGGCAGTGGACAGGGAAGTCATCCCGGCCTCTGTGGGGCCTGGCGAGAGCTAGGGGCATCACCCCCGATGGGCCAGAAAACCCCTGCTGCCATCACGGCCCCCTCAGAACCTCCGGTCTGCTCTGGGGGCCGTTCCTGGCATCCCCACACTTCGATCCTACAGGTGGTCATGGTGTCTGCTCTGTGCCAGGCCGAGCAGGGCTGAGAGCTGGGGCAGAGGGCAGGGGGTGATGCGGTGTGGGACCCGGTGCCCTTGGGCCCGGCCCTCCGTGTTCAGCCACTTGGCTGTTCTGGGGCTTTGGACACGTTGCACAGCCAAAGCCTCAGCTGCGTTTCTGGGAGACGAGGCTAATCACCCCCCCACACACACACAGTGATGGGAATGATGGAACGAGACCAGCGCACTCACTTGCAAATGGTGGTGGATGTCAGGCCAGCTGGAGAGAGGTGTCTGGCTGCAGAGCGGCACGTTAAAGCAGGCTTAGAAATCTTGTAACTGGGCAGGTGTTGGTGAGGCTGCCTGTGGGCGTGGGAGCAGAGTGACCCTGGGGCTGGGGTCTGGGCTAGCAAACAGCAAGGAGAGGAGGTCAGCTTTGGTGGGGTTGAGTGGGGAGAGCGTGGACTTTGGGGTTTGGCCGGGGTTCAGATCCTGGCCGGTGGAAGCAGGGGCGTGGTCTGGGCTCAGTCTGGGGTGGGCGTGGCCTCTCACTGGCTTCCCTCTCCGTGCAGGACAGTGACGGGGACAAGAGTGACGATCTGGTGGTGGACGTTTCCAATGAGGTAAGGGCCAGCCCGGGTCGCAGGGCGGCTGTCCCTGTGCAGGGTGGTTGGCGATTGCTCCTGTCCTGGGTGGGAGCTGTCGTGTCTCAGCTGTTGCACCGTTACCAGCAGCCCCAGCTGGGTGACGAGGCCTTTGGGGTTGGGGCATCCAGCTGGTCAGGAGGAGGAGGGCAGGGCCTGGCTGCCCTGGTGGCTGGGCATTCGTGCACACTGCTGGGTTCCTAGGCTGGGTCTCCAGAGAGAGGCCTCTGAAGATCCCAGGGGAGGGCTGGCTCCCAGTCACCATGGTCCTCCAGGTCAGCTCCGTTCTCCCTGCCACCCCTGGGATCTTGGGGTTGTGAGCCCCCTGGGTCAGCCTTAGCGAGGGAGGGGGAGCTGGAAAGGATCTACCCAGGGCCGAGGCCCAGCTGCCCAGCTTGGAGTCCTGAACTTGTATTGGATCTTGGGCAGGTCATCTCCACCCACCCGGGCCTCAGTCTCCCCCCATCTGTGGGAGGAAGGGGTCAGACTAGGTCATTAAAAACTCGTCCCCACTTGTGACCAGGCTCTTTTCCCATGCCCCGTGCCCACTCCCTTCCCGTCCCCAGAGCAGAGAAGACTCCAGGCTCGTCACTGCTCAGCACCTCCCCACGTCACTTGTGTTTTTAGGACCCAGCGACGCCCCGGGTCAGCCCAGCACACTCCCCCCCTGAAAATGGGCTGGACAAGGCCCGTGGCCTGAAGAGGGACCCTCCCACCAGCCCCGCCTCCGTGGCCTCCTCCAGCAGCACGCCCTCCTCCAAGACCAAAGACCTTGGTCATGTATGTGGGGTCTGCCCCTGGCGCCGCAGACGCTGGGAGAGGGTGGGGAACGTGGGGGCAGAGGGAAGAGGCTCTGGATCTGGAGTGGTGCTAAGTGGAAGGCAGAGGGCCGGAGTAGAAAGTACACGGATTGGCGCTTGGCCTGGGTTCGAATCCTGGCTTTACCACTTACAGGCTGAGCCCTGTGCTTATTATGAGTTAACGTTTCTAAGCCTTAGTTGCTGCATCTATTAAATGGGAACAATTACCACAGTCCCTGCCAAACAAGATTGGGCAAGAATTGAGGAGCTGTGGGGCAGAAGATTCAGAGCTGGGTCCAGCACTGGGCTTCATGTGGTGCCCAGCTCTTGGGAGAAAGGAATCTTCATGGCTTCCCTTGGTCTCTGCATCTACCCTCTTCAGAATGACAAATCCTCCACCCCTGGGCTCAAGTCCAACACACCAACCCCAAGGAACGATGCCCCAACTCCGGGCACCAGCACGACCCCGGGACTCCGGTCGATGCCGGGCAAACCTCCAGGCATGGACCCGATAGGTATAATGGGTAGGCACGATGGGGCTGGGCTGACCATGTTTGAGGGGAGGGGCTCTGCCCGAGGCCAGGGCTGGAGCCTCACAGATTGGGGCCAGGGAGGGGGATCAGAGTCAGGGCTCTCCCAGGGCCCGTCTCTGGGGGACTTGGTCAGGTTTGAGAAGGAGAGCGCCTGGTGCTTCAACAGCGACGTCAGGGCTTACTGGCGACACTGCACTAGGTGTGTGGAAGGAGCTTCAGACAGGTCAGGACACCAATGATCTGTCTGCCTCTGCTGTTAGTTCTGTGAGGCTCTGAACAACCCCCTCCTCTGGGCCTCCGAGTCCTGCTCTATAAAAAGCGGTGGTCACATCTCTCGGCTCAAACCTTCTTAGGCTGTGAAGATGGGGTTCTCTGGTAAGTGGGTTCAGTCCAGGAGGACTGCCTGGAGTAGGCAGCTTTAGAACACAGGAGGGATTGCTGCTGGGCAGGGAGGCAGCCTGGTGGCCTGAGCTTTGCCCTTGATGGAGGCGTGGGGCCCACTCCCCTTGGTGGCCTCTCCCCGCTGACACCCGCCTCCTTGCAGCCTCGGCCCTGCGCACGCCCATCTCCATCACCAGCTCCTATGCTGCGCCCTTTGCCATGATGAGCCACCATGAGATGAACGGCTCCCTCACCAGCCCCAGCGCCTACGCCGGCCTCCACAACATCCCACCCCAGATGAGCGCGGCTGCCGCCGCCGCTGCCGCCGCCTATGGCCGATCGCCAATGGTGAGCTTTGGAGCTGTACGTAGACCTTTTGGCTCCTTTTTGGGGGGGACTGGGTAAGGAGTGGGGGAGTCGGAGGGGGTGAGGGTGGCCCTTCCTGCACACCAAAGGGGACCTTCCGGGCCCAGCGACCAGGCAGCTAGCTGCCTTTGGGGCAGAGTGTTTATCAGGAATAAGAGTGGAACACACTTGGGGGTCAGCAGACCTGGGTCCCACCCCGCCTGCCCGTCAGTCGCCATGTGACCTCACACAACACGGCCTCCTTGGGCTGCCCCTTTCCGTCTGGGAAGCGGGGCTGACACCTCTCTTCCTGGGCTCCGTGGGGGTGGGAATCCCACGGTGAGTTGGGTGATTTCCACGAGGCAGGGACTTGGCAAACGGGGCAGCCCGTTATACCAAGATTTGTCTGCCGTTTATTGAGAGCAGTTCAGACTGGAGAGGTGGGTCCTCTTCCAGGAGACGGTTTCTCTCTTGATCCCTGGAATCCAGGCTGGCCTCCTCTCCACGTGACAAGCCCCCTGGGACACCAGGGGAGGGAACAAAGTGAGGAGGGGCCGCTCGGCCTCGCAGAGCCGGGAGAACGAGCTGAGGGTGCGAGTGGAAGATAACCGGTTCAGAGTTCGGGGTCTGGACCGTCATCCTGTTCCTGCCATTGTCCTGGACAAGGCACTTGGCCCTCCTGGGCCCGTGCTCTCTCTGGAACAAGGAAGGGGCTGTGCTCTGCCCAGCTGTCTCGGGTTCTGAAGATGCAGCGCCGTGCGGGTGGGACAGGAGGTGGTGAAGGAGGAAGCCGGTGGGGGTGATGTATAGTGCGGGGGGGACGTATGGCGGCACCCCTCACTAAGGGCTGGCCTGGCCTTGCCTTACAGGTTGGGTTTGACCCTCACCCCCCGATGCGGGCCACGGGCCTGCCCTCTAGCCTCGCCTCCATTCCTGGTGGAAAACCGTAAGCTTTGGCTATTTTCTGCTTTTTGGGAAGGGCAGGGGAGAGCACACCACCCACCCACCCACCCACCCCCTGTCCTGGTGGACCTCCCCTGAGGAAAGGTGTCTGCCCCTCTCGGGGTACCCATAGGCCAGGATGCAACCCCAGCAAAGCTGCCTGGCCGCACTCCTGAGCGGCCCCCAGGCTCCCTCTGAAAGCGGAACGAGACAGGGCTGGGGTGGAGGATGTGGTCCCTGGGCTCTGAGAGGGAAGGAACACTTCGGACACTGCGGTCTCTCAACCAAATGCCGTGGAGCTGCCCTGGCCTTGGGGCCTCCTGTGGGTTCTGCCCACAGCTGGCACTTAAAACAGCAGGCCGACCACACTGGCTCACCCCTGGCTCTGATGTGCGCCCTGTGACTCATTTGGAGGGTCGCAAACAGGTTTTCCTCGCTAATGCCACTGGCTCCTAGAGGAGGGGTGGCGTTCAAGCTGGGTGGGGGAAGGGTGTTCCTTTGCCACGGCCAGTTTGGGGTCAGCAACCTGGTTTGGAGCAAGGATCTGTAAGCGGGGGCAGAAGCCAAGGTTGGACTCTGCAGCAGTTTCCGGCCCGGTGGAGCCAGGCCAAGGAGGTTGGGGTTACCAGGTGCCCTCAGATCTGGGGAGAGGGGACACCTGGAGGCAAGGAGGCCAGGCAGGGGCAGGTGCCAGTCAAACTAGGCAGGAGCTGTGCAAAGTGTTATTAGAGGATTGGAGATGGCAGAAGTGTGGTTCTCCCTCTCCCAGAGCCTACTCTTTCCACGTGAGTGCTGACGGGCAGATGCAGCCCGTGCCCTTCCCCCACGATGCCCTGGCAGGCCCCGGCATCCCCAGGCACGCCCGGCAGATCAACACCCTCAGCCACGGGGAGGTGGTGTGTGCAGTGACCATCAGCAACCCCACGCGGCACGTCTACACAGGTGGCAAGGGCTGCGTGAAGATCTGGGACATCAGCCAGCCGGGCAGCAAGAGCCCCATCTCCCAGCTGGACTGCCTGGTGAGGATCCCAGGGCCGCGGGCATCCCTTCCACCTGGTCTAGGAGAGCGGGACAGCCTGGGTCAGGGGGAGAGCCCCATCCCGCCGGCCGGGTGCAGCCCTGTATTGGCTGGGCGACTTTGGGCAAGCTGGCAAACCTCCCTGAGCCCCACTTTCGTCGTCTGTAAGGGGAGGTGATGCTGATCTCCAGGGGTCTGTGAAGAAGTGAGTGAAAGTTTGAAAGGGGGGTGAACGAGGAGTGAATGAGGAGCGGGGTCGGACTGGCAGCTGCCTTCAGTAAGGGCAGGAAGTGGGCAGAAGCAGCCGGGGTGCTCAGCGTTGTGGACCCTCCTGGTCCCCAGGAGGGGTGGTGGGTGGTGCTGAACACTGCCCCTTCCCCCTCCAGAACAGGGACAACTACATCCGCTCCTGCAAGCTGCTCCCCGACGGGCGCACGCTCATCGTGGGCGGCGAGGCCAGCACGCTCACCATCTGGGACCTGGCGTCACCCACGCCCCGCATCAAGGCCGAGCTGACATCCTCGGCTCCGGCCTGCTACGCCCTGGCCATCAGCCCCGACGCCAAAGTCTGCTTCTCCTGCTGTAGTGACGGGAACATTGCCGTGTGGGACCTGCACAACCAGACCCTAGTCAGGTTAGGCACGGGAGGGAGCGGGGGTCCTCGCCCTCGGGAAGGCCTCGCCGGCCGTGCCTGGTATCTTTGCCGCGACTGGCCTGTCCGAGGTACTGGGGGCCGGCCGGAACAGCGCAGGTGAGGGCACCCGGGTGAGAGAACAGCTTGTGCCAGATGCCTGGCACGGATAGACGATGGAGGGCTCCTTGGCCCAGGAGCTTGCACAAGGCTCTGGGGAGAAGGGGAGCTGGAGACACACGGAGAGGGCAGGAGGAGAGGCGTTGAGACCAGAGTGGAGGAACAGTACCTCTTGGTGGTTAAGTGTGGGGCCTCGGGAGCAAAGCTGCAGGGTTTCAGTCTTGCCTCCGTGTGACCTTGTGCAAGTCACTTAACCTCCGTGCCTCGGTTTCCCCTGCATGCAACGGGCGGAGTGAAGCCCCTTCCTTAGAGTCGGACCCCAGCGCCGGGCCCAGCATCGGCCCTCAGTGCAGTGTGGCCGTCTGCGTTAGTCATAGCGCCATGCAGCTGGTTTATGGTCTCAGCCGCGTGGTTCATGCGGGGTGACAAGGATGGATCAAGAGTGCAAATTGAGGAGGCGTGGGGTGTCGGGCTAAGGGGGGGGTTCCCCTGTTACATACCTGCTCTCCCAGAACTGCCCCTGCCCAAGACCCTTGAGCAGAGTAGGAGAGGGGCCCAGGCCTGGCTCTGCTGCAAGCTCCCTAGGGGACGATGGACCTCAGTTTCCTGTTCTCCTCGGGCGGAGCTGGCCTGCCCCCTGGGATGGCTGTCCACTTGGCATCGGTTCTTCCCCGGAGCTCACCCCCATCCCTGCCTGGCCTTCCTAGGCAGTTCCAGGGCCACACGGATGGGGCCAGCTGCATAGACATCTCCCACGACGGCACCAAGCTATGGACCGGAGGCCTGGACAACACCGTGCGCTCCTGGGACCTGCGGGAGGGCCGGCAGCTGCAGCAGCACGACTTCACCTCCCAGGTGTGCCCCCGAGGCCCCCCCCTTCCCTCCATTGGAGCAGCGTGGGGCCTTCCCCCCCCAGGTCCCAGTGGCTGAGTCAGGGGACAAAGGGGCCCTCACACCTGGTCGTTGCCAATGGACCTGAGACCAACCTGAGCCATCTGGGAAGGTTTCCTGGAGGAAGTGGCAATGAAACAGAATCGACAAGGCTTTGGAGTTGGACACACTTGACCCAACGGCTTGGATTTGATTCCCAGCTCCTCTGCCGTTGAGCACCTTGGCCTTGGTTTTCTTACGTGGGATGGGAATAGTCATAGCTAACCTCATGGGTCTGGTGGGAGCACCTGAAATGGTCCCTCTAAAAGCCTTAGCTGTAAGCTTGGCTCATAGAAAGCATTCTATAAGTGCCAGGTATTACTTGCTTTAACATTTTAATCTTGCCATTCAATACGTTAGCGTTTTATTTACTCACATTTTTCTTAAGGAAAGACAGAAGTCACTGAGGCAGAGAGAATAACTGTGAAAGTGAAATATCTGTGCCACCTCCGAGTTTGCTCTGCCACTTACTTTCTAGAGTCAGCAACCTCTCTGGGCCTCAACTTCGTCACCTATCAAATGGGGATGAAACATGAGATCCCATTCCCCTGGGTTATCGGGCTTGGCTTTGCAAATGGCAGGTGGGGAGGTGCTGGGGGAAGGAGTGGTGGGACGCTGAGTCTTCAGGGTCCCAGAGCAGGGCCCTCGAGGAACCCCCACCCCTGTGGCTCTGGAGGATGCTGATCTCCTTATGCCCCTCCCCCGCAGATCTTCTCGCTGGGTTACTGCCCCACCGGGGAGTGGCTGGCCGTGGGCATGGAGAGCAGCAACGTGGAGGTGCTGCACCACACCAAGCCCGACAAGTACCAGCTGCACCTGCACGAGAGCTGCGTGCTGTCCCTCAAATTCGCCTACTGCGGTGAGCCTGGGGGAGTGGGAGCCCCGGGAGGCCTGGCCTGCCCTCTGTGCACAGATGTGGCCCAAAGCTTAGAGAAGGGCCAGAGCCCCAAAGTGAGCACGGTCCCAGAACCAGGCCCCCTGACCCTGACCAGTAACCCCCATCTGGCATCCCCGCCCCGGCATCCTTGGATGCAGATACTGCCACAGGGTACCAAGCACTTGTGAGACCAGGCCAGAGCCAGACCTTGCTGGCTTGGGGCAAAAGAACAGTACTCACAGCTCTGCCAGCAGTGCTTCCAGGTTGTGGTTCAGACCCCAGGCTTTGGTGGCCATAGCTCTGGATTGGAATATCTGCCGACCCACTTTTTTTTTTTTAATATATAAATTTATTTTACTTTTTTAAAAATTTAGTTGTTCCCTTTTGGCTGCATTGGGTCTTCGTTGCTGTGCGCAGGCTTTCTCTAGTTGCAGCGAGTGGGGGCTACTCTTTGTCGCGGTGGGCGGGCTTCTCATTGCGGTGGCTTCTCTTGTTGGAGAGCACGGGCTCTAGGCGCGCGGGCTTCAGTAGTTGTGGCACGCGGACTCAGTAGTTGTGGCTGTGCAGCTCTGATGCGTCCCGTCCTCTCTAAACCCCGACCGGTCTTTCTGTGGACCAGGAATTGCAGGCACCCCACGTGGCTCTGGGAGCCCTGGGGCGTTAACACAGGCAGAGCCCTGGCAGCGCACCTGCAGCGATCCCCGCCTTCGGTTGGGTCTCCGGCCACTCAGCATTGTCATTCCTAGTACGTCCTGCCGTATTCCAGTGGTAGAATCGAGATGGATCAGTCGACCTTAGTTAGTGGCTTTAAAAAGAATCTTTTGGGCAGTGTAATCCCTGTGATTAATTGCAGATCCTCCCTTTCTCCGTCCCAGCCTGCGCCCCCCTCCCCTTGATTGCAGAGGAAGGCATTCTCTGGGTGTCGATGTTTGTGTTACTGTGTCTCGGTTACAAAATGCCTCTCACAAGTGAAGAGTTGGCCCAGCACTGGTTAGCGGTTCACACTGTGTTTCCATGGCAGCCAGCCATGTATGGGGCGGGTCTCACTTTAGAGGGCAGCAGCCCACAACCTGATGTTTCCTTTGCCTCCCGCCTGCAGGCAAGTGGTTTGTGAGCACTGGGAAAGATAACCTTCTCAATGCCTGGAGGACACCGTATGGAGCCAGCATATTCCAGGTACCACCCGCCATCCGAGCAACCCTCCTGATTCTGCCCAGAGTCAGGGCCCATCCGCGGCGATGGGGGCAGGGGTGGGGGAGGTAAAGCAGAACTTGCCCCGGCTTCTTCCAGCCCCTACCTGCCAGGGGTCCAGGATGGGTTCTCCAGAGGCAAGGGCTTGGACTTGGGCACATCAGTGGGCCTTACACTCTGCTGCTAATGGCATCTGACCCCACAGGGTGAGGGCTTTTAAGCAGGGGCTCTTGTAGGATATCTAGAGCAAGGAGAAGTGAAAACATGCTCTTGGCTTTGGCCTGCACGCTGAGCCCTCGCAGGAGGTGTGCTGGGCATTTGAGCAAAGCTGGGCAGCTTTTTTTCTGAGCGGTGGTGTCTGATATTCAAGTAAGTTCATATTTCATCTCAACACTTCCAAGTAGGGAGAGAGGTGGGGCAGGAGAAAGATCCGGAAGGAAATGGGAGAGAAGGAAGAGGCTTTCTGTGAGTTTTCAAGACCTGGGGCCTGATGCCGCACCCTCTCGGTCACTCCCACACTCCCACGCACACAGACGCACACACATACAGAGACATGCCACGCGCACACACACAGTCACACTTCCGCTCTCAGAGCCAACAAGCCACTTTCTGGATTCAGGCTAGAAGTCTGGCGTCTAGTGTGTCGCGCACGTAACTTTCAAGTCTCCAGTTACACTGGATGCTTCAAAACTCAGGTGCAGATCCTTTTTCTTAAGCTCACCAGGCTGAGGGTCTGGCCCGTTGACACCTGCTCCCAGCTCAGAAAAGCTTCTTTCTGTTTGTAAACTCAGGAGCAAAGCTGACGAGGCTCAGGTGTTCTGTTTTGCTCCTCAGAGACTGTAAAGATCATGTTGGGCCCTGTTAACGAACTTTTCCTTGTGGGGAAGCAGGTGGAAGGGGCCCCTCTAACGGGAAGGGCTGTGGTTGAAGGCCTTGCAGTGTGGGCTCCAGGGCGGGCAGAATTCAGAGAGCGCTGAAAGGGCGTCCAGTACCCACAACGTGAATTTCTGTCCTTTCTCTCGCCGCCCCTCTTGCCTCTCCTCCCCCAGTCTAAGGAATCCTCATCTGTCTTGAGTTGTGACATTTCGGCGGATGACAAATATATTGTAACAGGCTCTGGTGACAAGAAGGCCACGGTTTATGAGGTCATCTACTAGACAAGGACTGTAACAGGGCTGTCAAACTCCGGGAGAAACAGACTCAGCTGTGCCGGGGAGACCCCGGCGAGGGGCTCCGTGCACGTGGAGGATGGGCGGCAAGCGGGCCAGCGCTGTGCTCCGGTGGCTGAGAAGGTGCCCCCGTCACAGTCGGGACTCCCAGGTGTGGATTGATGGGACTCACGGACTCTGATGGATTTCTTCCCTCCTCCCCTTAACGATCCTGGCAGATGCTACACATAGATTTATTCGGGGGCTCGTGGCTCCGGCTCCCCACAGACGCCCTCATGAATCTTTCCTTCCCCTCTTGTTTTTGATGCGTTCCCCTGCCCTGGCTCGGGGACACTGGATGGAGCGTGGACCACATGTTTGTGCCAGGGGAGGGGGGTGGTTCACGTTCCTGACTGTGCAGCGCACAAGGTTTGTGAAAAGTGTAAATAACAGACTCCTATCTCGGACTGGTCAGCGGGGGGAGGAGGCCCCTTCCCACCGGCAACGCCAGCCGTGAATTTCGCCTGCTGTATTTGTAATCCACTCGTGGTGGTGGCTTTTTTCTTCTTTTTTTTTTTTTTTTTAAAACAACAACAACAACAACAAAAGTTCCCATCTGGGAAGGGGAGGCAGGGAGCGGAGTGCAGAATGGAGAGGGAGTAGAACGGGGAGAAAACTCCTGGGGCAGAGGAGAGGCACTGCGGCTGGCAGCCATGTTGGCTACCAGGTACCCCCCTGGACAAGTGTATCTCCATGCGGACCTGGGAGTCGTTTGAGGCGTGTCAGGACCAAGCTCCAGACGGACTGACGGACTGACAGAGCTTGAGATGGGTGCCAGCCTGGGCTGACGGCAGCAGAAATGGTGGGTTTTTCTGTAGTCTCCTGAGCTCCATGCTCCGCTTTCAGGTGTCTGACCCCCTCCCTGTCTGTCTGTCTGTCTGTCTGTCTGTCTCTCCCTTTCTCCCTCCCTCCCTCCCACCCTGACCTCCATCTCTCTTTGGTGCACATTTGGTTATCGTGGTGAGAAATGGAAGTTCAAAGCCACTCTGTCTCCGGCCCTTCTTAATCTTCGGACACAACCGAAAAAGGACACAAAGTTAGAGGAAAGCATAGCAACTCAGCTCAGGGAGCTACCAGAGAAAAAATAGCAAGTGATGTGGGTGCTTTTTTTTTTTTTTTTTTTAATTTGAATAAAAGGAATTAGAAGTGATGTCCTTTCATAAAATGCCTTCTCTCCCCTTTTCTGCCTCTGACCTCCTCCTCTCTCCTTAGAGGGAAAGTGTGTATTTAACCTGCAGAGCTGTGAGTCTGTTTATCCTCCCCCCCTGTCTGGGGGGAGGGGACTTGGGGTTGGGCTGGGGACACACTGGGCTGACTTCTTGTAGCTTCCCGTCACTCTTAGGAGCCCAGACAGCTTACAGGTAGAATATCATCTCCTGCAGGTGCCACTTTTTGGTACCAAAATGTTCTGAGGTATTAGGATTTGGGTGGGTTTTTGGTCTTTTGGGTTTTTTTCTTTTTTTTTCCTTTTTTCCTTTTGGTCTTATTTTTTCTTCTTCTAAGGAAAAGCTAAAGGGCGTCGTGAGTCCTGGTGGTGGGCTCTCCATGGATGTAGCATATGGAAGATAATTTTTATACTGCATTTTTATGGATTATTTTGTAATGTGTGATTCTGTCTGGTGAGAAGGAAGGAGGGGCTCTGATGAACCACGCCCCTAACCCCCCCCCCCTTGTTCCTGGGTGGGCCCCTCCCCCGACCTGGCATGGGAGGCTGCAGAGATGCAAGGTGTGTTCCCTTTCTAAGGCTGGGGAGGCGTATCCAGAGTCTGTCTCTCTCTCTCTCTCTCTCTCTCTCTCTCTCTCTCTCTCTCTCTCTCTCTCCTCTCTTTCTCCCTCCCTCTCTCCCTCCTCGCTCTCTGGGTCTCAGATGCTCAGCTGCCACCTCTTGTTAAGGCTTTCCCCACAAGGGGAGGGCGAGGGTGGAAGACAAGTTGATTCCTGAAGAAAAGAGAAAATGAAAAGTCATTGTAATGAGCTGTTTTTATATTTTTAAAAGTTACTATTTAAAGGTTGGTATGATTGTTGCGTTTTAATTGCCTCCCCTGCCCCCAAGAAGAGAGCGGGGCGCTGTCACCCCCATGTCCTGGATCCTGGGCAGCTTCCTTTGTCATCCATAAACGTGAGCTCTTCTCTCTTCAAAGCACTGCCATGCTGCCCCTGCCCCTAAAAAGTGATCGCACAGGACAGTTAAGGGGAGTGCTTAACTTCCCCTGAGGGGAAGCCCACAGGTAACACCAAAGTCCTATACAGCTGTCACTGCAAAACTTTTTGGGAAGAAAATGAAGTGTGATGAACTTCCAGTGAAATTGCAAAGTGTCTGTGACGTCACATCGGGACCCTGAAAACCTCCACCGTCTTTTTTAAGCTTGAATTCAGATGTTGTGGGCTGACCCCGCTCTCTTAATTCACTAAGGGTGCATTTCTGAAGGAGGAGGGATTTATTTACAGAAGGGGCAGGATAGGAAATGCAGGGCAGTACCCTCAGGGAGGCAGGGCTGGCCCGGGATGGTTCCCAGGCTCTTGGCTGTCATGCAGCCATGGGCACAATCTCTCTAGAACTAGGGACTGACATGGATTCCAACTCCATATTTTGTCAGTCATTGTAAATCAGCACAAACAATTGCCTACTGTTTTTTCATACAAGAAAGGGAGTTGAACATTTGAAAAAAGGAGTGACGATCAGGATAAAGCAGTCTATTCTAAGCCTAGAAAGGACAGCTGGACGGCACACACAGGGGTCATTTATCTGGAGCCGGTTGTCCTCTCAGGCTTACAGCGGAGAAGCTTCCAGCAGGTAGCAAGAATGCCCATTTGGGGCTACAGTTTGGCTGACAGCTCTGTCTTGTACTGGTTGCACAAACTTGAGTAAAAGCATCACCCCTTTGAACCACACTCCTTGTTTGTCCAGGTCTTATCGTCACAGCAGAGGGCCAGAGGGGCCAGATGGCAGGCCCTGGCCAGAAAATTCTGTGTTTGCCCAGTGGGTTGCCCGTCGGTGCCGAGATAAGGTTAGAGTTGAGGTTTGCATGCCCCAGCAGGCAGAAGAGGAAAACATCTCTCATAATGCTTACCCTCCAGTCTTGTGCTGCTGGGAGTGAAGACCGATGTCAGGTCCCTTTCTGAGAAGGGGAGGCGACCTACCTCGGAAAGGCCGTCCTCCCAAGACTTCCTGGGCACAGTCAAGGCTGGAGAGATGACCAAGTTTCAGGCCGAGCGCCAGAAGCTCACAGTCGAGGGTGGGGAGAGACATTTGACCTGTGAAAGTGCGGTTGGAGACACATCCTTGGGCACTGGCTGCTGGTGCCTTGACCCCTTCCTCTCATCACGGCCACTGTCCTGAAAGGAGCTCACCAAGCCTCTCCACGCTGAGCCTCACACTCCGCCTGCTTCCTCTCTTCGTCTCTCCCCCACCCACTGCTGCCCTCCCATTCCCACGCTTCACACCTTGCAGAACCTCAGCTCCCCATCCTACTCTGCACTCTGGGGTTTGTGAGGCCTCTTGGAGTCTTTGGGGAGAGAGCCAAGTATTGTAAACAATCTGACTTCCATCCGTAATCCCCCGAGCTTGCCCACACCTCCTCCTCCACAGGATGGTAGAAAGCCCTGATATCATTTTTTTTAGCCCTTTTCAAAGTCACCCCCTAACTATTGCTGCAAGAATCCAGGCTCATACTAATTGCAGCATTTCACACACCTGTTTGCACAGCTAGACTAGTTTCCCTGGAGGGCAGCGCCCAGGACTTCATAGGCTCCGGGTAGTAACTAGTGAATAAAGGATGAGCTTTCACTGGCTTGAGGTTATCCCGTTTCTCAGGGCGAGTGGGCTGTCACAGTGCTCACCACTGAAGCCCAGAGAAGGGACTGGTTTCTGCGGTTCTTCAGTTCCGTTGTGCTGCCTTTGCTCAAAGCAAGGAGATCTGTTTGAAACACGTGGAGAGGGCGTGGTCGTCAGAAGCCAGCTTTCACGGTTTTAGGTCACATCAGATTATGTACAGGGGTCCAGGCCAGACCAAGCAGGGGCAGTGACAGGATTATCCTAAGACCAGGTCACCCTCAGGCCTCTCTCTGAGTCACTGCCACCCCTGTTCCCCACCCCTAGGCAGCCCAGACCCCAGCAGGGGCAGTGACCGTCCTAACTTGCAGGGTCTACGAGAAAGAACAGATACAGAGATCTGGATGCTGGAGCTGGAAGTGTTATTGGCAAGACCCTTAAATGTTATGAACTGCCCACGGACTCTCCCGTGATGCCGTGATGCTGGAGTGTGAATGTTTTCTCAAGAACACTGTTTGAGAATGAGCTATTTTTAACATAAAGTATAGCAAACAAACCTGATGAACCTTTTTTTATTCACACGGTTAGGCATCATTTGATTTTTTTATGACAACAGTAGAAAAGGTACTCTGTAAAATGTACCGTACTCGTGAGGTATTTTTAAACGTTACACCAAAATTGGGCCTTTTGTATTTGAAGAGACATCTCTGAGACCTTGGTTTGATAGATGGGACAGTTAAGGCCCAGAAAGGGTAAGTAACCCACCATGAGACACAGCCTGAGCTGAGATTGTGACTCATACCTCCCCCTCCCCTAAACTCAGTAGCCCACCCTTAGTGAAGGAGCTGCCCGGTGGGCAGGACTGAATGATACTCTTTGGAGGATTAGTATCCAGGGGATGAGGCCTCCTGCCTATTCTTCAAGAGGATTGGTGAGGAAATTCCTCATGGAAGGGAGATGGCCCACGGGAGTCATGGAATTCAAGTCATCCTGCCTTGAGAACACTCTAGAACTCACCCACCCATCTTGCCCATGCTTCCATCCATCACCCAACCCACTCGCCCATCTACTCATTTCTTCAGCCATCCTTCTATCCAGCCATCCATCCAACCAACATTTCTCTAGTGAGAAGCTAACGTGTGCCGGGCATGGTTCTGGGTGCTGGGATGCCTGCCCTCCCCACAGAGCTCTCAGCCAGCTGGGAGAAACAGTCACATAAACTGACAACTGCCGCTCCGTGAGATATGTGAAGGCACAAATCGAAAGGTGTCACTTCACACGGCTGAGACATTACCCAGGACGTGGAGTCAGAGCAGGGGGTTCTTGGAAGGAGTGAGCTGAACTGAGGCTTGAAGAGTGCGGAGGTACCATATGCCCAAGGGAGGCCGGGAGAAGAGTGTTCCAGGCAGAAGGAACAGCATGTGCTAAGGCCTGGGGTAAAAGGGCATATCC